CCTTTCACACTTGAGAGGCTACTCCTACATGTCTGGCTCCCAGTGCTGAAGCCCCTAAAGTCAGTGGCTCCTGAGTCTGAGTTCACCTGTCCTAGACATTGCTCAGGAGAACATCACCTGCCTATTCACAGGATGAGAAAACTCAGACTGTATCTGCAGTGTCTACCACTCAGTCTTCTGTCAGTACTGTTTGGCAGGACACACTGCATATATTAACAACTGCTTTGCTTCCAGATTGCTTAATTAACTCAGCTAGGGTTTACTCAGATGCCAACTGGAGTTTGAACTAAAGAACAATTTAAATACCTCACTTATGACCATGCTTCTAACTCTCTCATGCCTAGGAAGACTGTTTCTGATCTTCCTTCTAGTTTGTATAGCAAAAGATTCTTGCCAGTAACTGTGCTTTTCACCCCCTTCCTCAGGGCAGGAACTTGACACATGTTGAAGTTGTTATCATAGGTTATTTCAGCTGTATGCTGTTAACTGTCCAGTGCTGGCAGAGTTATCCCTCTTTGCAGTTTGGGTGTGTGCAAGCTGTACTGAGAGAGATTGCATATGTTCTACATAGCCTATACTGAACTGTGTTCTCTACCTGATTACAAACACATCTCCATGAGAAACAGGATTTTTCCTGTTCTGTTCTTGAGCTCACCCAGCTCAGCACCATATTGTCATTACCACAGTGTCAAGTATTGTGGCCTGCTTATCCAGAAGGTGCTCACCCAGCTGATTATCCATGACCAGCCAGAAACCTGCCCTTAAAAATAAATCATCAATATTTGAAGAGGTTTCCATGTAGCCACCAGCTTCTGCCAGCTTTTGGTTACATAGTTCAGTGTAGTAGTCACTAGTCACAAGATTCCTTGTACAGACACAAATTATGTTCTTGATCTGTCACCAGAAGACTGATGATCCTGCCTGCGCTTTATGAAGACCAGCTCTCCTATAGTGGTCTCATTCCTTCCTCAGGGAACTTTACAATATTACTCCTAAATCCAGACTCTAGGAATCCCTATCAGACCTCATTTAGCTTTCCATCCCTAAGAGGGTCTTGATATCAGATTACAGATATGTCCCCCACCCACCAGAGGAACACAAGGGCAAGCCTCCCATCCTCATCTAGTCTATCTTCTATTAGCAAGGCTAGTAGCTGTTTTCAAACAGATCTGCTATTCAAGCTTCTAGAAAATTAGTTTTTTATTCCTAGCAACATTTGTGCCCTTGTTTAAAGCACCAATTACCCTCTTTAGTGAAAGCACAGAAGTTAGCCTAAAGGATAGACAAAGGATGCAGTGTTCATCACACTTCAACCTGTGTGTTCCCTACTTGTCCTGTCCCTTCTCGGATCATAGTCTCAATTCTAAGCATTTTAGCCATAGGAGAGGTATATCACAGACTCCTTTAAGAGGAGACTTGTGGCTATGTGATGCATCAGCATTAAGTGCTCACATACCTTTCTAAAGAGAGCGATCCTCAAGAACACTGTTGTGAAGCTTTCTCAGCGACAGCTTAAAGATCTAACCTAGTTGTTTGGTTCACGACATAATCCTCGTAAGGTATTTTACTTCTCATCTTATTGCCTAAGAATGCAATATGAACTGACAAAACAGCAGGAAATTCAGCTCCAAGGCCAAAAGTCTGCCCTTAACTGGCCCCAGAGTGTCTGAGCTTTGAGATTTAAGGTGACATGCACTAGCTATGAAACTTTGAAGCTTTTAAGAAAAAAAACACGTGGATATTGTTGGGAGTGAAGGTCTGCAGGGCATTTCAACAGAGGCGCTTCACTCTCAAGCACTCCATAGCACACGCAAGGCACATCCTTCCAGTAAATGTGAAACTGGAATGATCTATGCCCTCATCAACCCAGGCCAACAAGAGTTAGAAAGGAGACGATGCTTTGTTCAGTACTCAGCTGCCCAGCTTTATAAACAGCTTAATCCTGTTTGAACTGGTACATCTTGTTTACTGACTAGGTCTGCCACTATACTTTATCCAGCTTCTTTATAACTCTGAGACCCTTGTACCCAGATACAGCCTCAAAACTGGGTTCCTAAAGTCAGTTTGTTTTGAAAGTTACACTGCTTTGACACTTCATTCTATTTGATCCTCCAAACACAACTGATTTTTTTCTACAGAGGCCAGGCTGAGGCAGGGGAGCAGTGGCTTATGCTTGGTTGTGTTACACAGAAGGAGCTTAAAACCCCTCAGATTTCCCTCCCCACCCCACACAGCAGGGGAAGAGTCTTATTTCTACTACTAATCCCTTAATCTTCATCTAAGAGCTAAGTTTTTCCTCCAAAACCCTTGCAGATTACGAGGTACTTTCATGCTATCTCATCACTTTTGATGGAAAGCGGATAGCAAGCAGGATTTGGTTTACCAGTACTATTTCCAGAGTAAGACACTCTCTCTGGTGTGGAATGCATCCCTTTGTTGTCCTAGCAAATTCACACTTCAGGAGTGATTGCTTTGTGCTAGACTTGCTGTATGAAGTCCACAAGCACTCCCAAGAACTGGGTTAACCTAGTAGGTCACGTAAGTGTAATAGCAGTGTAAAGTTCATAAAGAGAGAAGACCATCAACAGGAGAAAGATCTATGGGTCTGGCAACAGTACTCAGTAATCACAGCATATTATGCACTTCTATTTACTTAACATCACAAGCAGTAGTTTTTATTTTAAACATCCTGTCTGAATAGCAGCTGTTTGTTCCCCCCCCTCCATTCTGACAATAAGTACAGCTGCTTTCCCACAAATCTAAGAGCTCTTCTGGTACTTTTTGCATATATCGTTCACATGATTAAAGTGCTTTATTCCTATCTACTCATGAAATAAAGGTGCTAAGCAACTGTAGCATCTACGGGCCATTCTGTCCAGTAATTGAATTATGCAGGAAATTTGTCAAGTCATGTTCTCTCACTGAGAAAGTAAGCTGTGTTCTGCAGATGTAAATAGAAACACAGCAGAAGGCACATATCAGAATGGATAACCATCTCTACCTTCACAAGAGGAAAATGATGCCAGATTTTTGGCTTTTGTCCCATCCTTCCAAGTGATAATGCTGAGCACAACTGCTGATGCTCAGCCAACAGCTTTGTTTGAAATAAGAGCACAATAGATGAGAAAGAGTGTCACAAGTCACAGGACTTGCACAGTAAAGCTTGTCATTCTTCCAGTCTTCTGTCTTCAGCAAGAAGCACAGAAGGCCCTACTAGATTCCCCACAGCAGAAGCATCTCATCTAAGACTCACAGCACCTAGCATTCAACCCACTTTAGTCTGAGCTTTCCTGTGCTCTCAGTCATGAGGTTTGCTAGTGAAGCTTCTGCTTTGATGGCTCACCTGACATTCATTTAGAACACACAACAATTTTCCTCCTCCAAATGCAAACTTTAGTGAGTTTCTATTAACAGAAGCTTCTGCTTTAGACTTGACCACATCCTCAACTCACTCAGGGCATTTTGGAAGGCTAACTGTGCCCCAAGGGCCATTTGTGTAGGATGTGACTGCAGTGATTCTTTAAACAGGCATGCTCCTTGACTCCCTCAAACAGTCCTCTTCTCAAGTGTTCATTTGGATTTCGATTTGTTCCTGTTTAGCCACCCAGTGTCTCACCTCTACCATCACCTGACACAGTTTTAGTAGACCTTCATAAGAGCTCTTAAATGCATAACAAGTCACTTTCAGACATCGCATCATTTTTTTTTTTTCAACTTATTAGTGCCTAATAAATCTTCACAACCAACTGGAATATATAGCTTTGTAATTAATTTAATCTGAGTTGCCTATCTACAAAGGAGTTCCCACCCCTAAGCATATCAGTTCTCATTCCTGCATACAATGACCAAATCTTAAAGCCCACATGCTCTCAGACCCAGTCTATTTTGGATAGAATTTTCACGGAAACTATGAAATACTCTGGGCAAAAATGTAACCTTCTAAGGCAAAGTAACTTTATTAAGATGAAGATGATTTCTCTCTACTCACTCTTCTACCCTCAACCTCCTCCCACGCCGCCAAATAAAGACCTAAACAAAGTGAAGTTAATCTTACCTTAACAATAGATTTACATGCTTCCCTAGTAAACGCTCAAGCAACCACCCTCAGCTCAGCAGAGGAGTAAAAGCTCTGCTCCAGGGAAGTCCAACTGCACTGATCTTACTGCCAGACTGCAGGCACTACTGTGGAACAGCACTCAAAGTGTCATCATGTGATGATCACTGGGGCTTAAAGCTTCACCAGCTGAGAAGTTAGTTTTCCTGACAAGAGTGTGTTCTCTCTTGAGTTAGTCCTAGAAACCCTTAACTATGTCCATTTACCACAAATGGAAGTATCATCCTGAGATTCACCAGCAGACAGAAGGGTGCTCAGCAAGGATGCTCCACCTAAAATCAGAACAGAAAGCCTACCCCTGCTTCACTACATTCTAACCCTTCTCTCTGCTGCCAAAAGATTCTTTCATCTCGGTGATGCATGCATACAAACACAAAGTTTCATATAATTTTCGCGTCTTCACCCCTTCCTCCCCCGACAAACAGAAATAAAAACACATGTTTATTTTGCTTTCAGCTCCGGCTTCCTCAGGGAGCCGGCTCTGCTGCAGCCCGGTGCAGGATGCGGGCGGCTTCCAGCCCACGGCACCCGGACAGCAGCGCGCCCCGCGGCCCCCAGCGCCCGCAACCCCGCGCCGCCTCCTCCTCTGTTGCGGCCGGAGCGCGGCCCGACGCCGCCGGTGCTGCAGGGAGGCGCGGACGGCCCCGGTGGGAGCACCCGCTCGCCCGGCTTTGCCACCCCGCGGCAGGGGGCTGCCGGCCCCCGCAACCCCGGTATAAGCTCGCGCTGCGGCTTTCTCGAAGGGGAAAGAGGCAAAAAGAAAAGAGGAAAAAAAAAAAAGAAAGAAAAGAAAAACGAAAACAAAACAAAAATCGCCCTCCCTCCCTGGTTATAGCCCCTCCCGGAGGCTTGCAGGAGCTGAGACCCCGCTCGCAAAGCTGCTTACGGGCTAGATCCGTGCCGCTCCGTGCATGATCCGAGGAGAACCGCAGCTGGCAGCCTGACGGGGAGCGAGGGCCCGGTTAAATATTCAGTGGCACTCTCGCCTTCGGATTAGTTAGCCACTCACAGCGAGAGATATGGTTTTAATCAGATGCTGGCAGCTGAGCACTACCCAGGAATGTGCTATGATGTTTTTGCTGCTCGGTCTTGGCTACTCCCCCTCAACGTGTCGGTGCTCTCAAGATTAACTCCTTGCGAGCCGCCGCTCCGGCCCCTGTCGCTGCTGGGGGGGTCCAGCCCAGCCGCAGTCACCGGGTGAGATGTGCGGTAGGTGCGGACTGGTTCAGATGAGGCGTAGCTGGTTCTCCTCGTGCAGCCATGCATTTGAAGCTCTCATCTAGAAAACAGGTCCTCTCTTGTGTCTGTGTGACCGTCTGTTTATAGACAGGTGCGGCAGTGTTGTTAAAAATCCAATCCAAGCCAAACGCTTATTTTCTGCAAAAACACCAACATCAAAATTCCATCCTTTCTTCCCCACAGATCTGTGGCTAGCTAGTAAAACCATACTGGGATGGTACGATTCTGTTTCTGGGTCACATCCAGACCTGACCTCTATAATTTCCACTCATCTTTATTACCTCAATAATGTTTTGTTTCCCAGTGCGATACAGAAATTTTCCAACTTGTATGAAATACCCTCTTATAAAAACTCACACTTTGTCTTTGCAGAAGAGTTTTTTTTTTTTTTTTTTTTTTTTTTCCCCCCCTGTAATTACAAACTTAATCTAACATTCATTTTCTCAAAAACAGTGCAAAACATTTCTGTCCAAATCTGTGCTATTGCCCTTTGCAGCAATACCTGACATTAAAAAAAATAATAATAAAAAAAAGGTTTTTTCCTTGAAGTAGCAATGCATTTGGTAGATATTTTAAACTGTTTTAGAAAAAGAAAAGAATTAATACAAAATGATTTTGTTACTGGGGAGTTCAGGATTCTAAACTGATGGGTGCATCTGGTCATGAAGCACATCCAAGTGGCACAATGCCTTCCTTGACACAGTGTGATGCTGCTCAGGCCTGCAATGGCAAAATCTGTAGGAACCCTGTGCCTGTGGTAACCAAAAGCTGTCAGTTTTGTGTCGTTTGCCCATATCAGTCTTCAGATTTCAGAAGTGCTAATTTTAACCATAAAGGACTCTGAGGGACACGTTTTTGTACACCAAACTAGCGTTCACGGAAGGAAGTACATACTACATAAGTAAGGCATTTGCTGCAGTTAGCAGGTTGCTGGCCATGCACATGTCGGCGTTTGAAGGATTAGATGTGAATTCCTTGGGACACTGTCTTATTCATGTTTAACAATGTTGGTTTTGTACCGCTTGCACTGCACTGTACATTATTGTGAACGCCCTGAGCTGGAGACCTATCAGTGAGGCTGGAGCTCCTCTGTGCTGGGGCAGCACGCGTTTTAAAGAGTGATGCTTTGCTCAGCATGTATTGTGGAAGTGAGCGACACAGCCTGCCTCAAATGAAGGATGAGACTGTGCCTGGTTTAGACACAGTGTAGTAACAAAGCAGTTTCTATAACGCAGTCAGACTGCTGCTGGCATAAGCAGGACTAACACTTGTGCCTTGCCTGGTATGAAACCTAAGCCCCGAAATACCTTGACTAGTTGTAGTAATGGTTACAAATATGAATCATAGTATTTCTTGTTAAAATGGAAGAGATTAAAATATTTTTCTTTGGCCATAGAAAGCAGCTTATGAGCCCTTTCAGGGTGCTGTGAAATTACACTTACTGCAGAAACGCCAAGAGGTTCCTCACTACCTACCAGCACTTCAGACATAACTAATAACATCATGGAAAAAGGTTTTTTCAACTGATAAATGGTTAATAACTAACTGGAAAAAATGACGGTTTTCTTAGAGAATAGAAAATGTCTCAAGCCTTAAAGGACTACACTATCTATTTTGTAATTCAACTCTGAACAGCTCCCCTGATATCCCACAGTGTTGAACTAAACGGTAAAATTCAGAACTGTTACATTAAACATATGTAATAGGATTGCTTTGTGAGTGTAGGAGGAATCTAGGCAGAAAGCCCCACAGGAATTCAGCTATTTCGTCTATAGTGCACTACAGGACTCAAAGGGTGTGCTTTGCACTTCATGAAAAGTAAAAAGATTTTTATTTCACCACAGTAAAAAAAGAACCAAATGAACAATGGCTGTTATGACTTTAAGCCCGACTCCTAAAAGATTACAGCAGAGAGAGTGCTCTGTTTTCCAGCACGATGATTTTTTTTTCTCTCATTTGTTGTGTCTGATTTTACTGTTGCTGGCGTAAGTTCAGTGCCTATCCAAGGTTTTTTTGTTTTAAATCAACTGCTTATTGCAGAAAACAGTATCGACCTGGAGCCTTCACAAACAGGTCTAAAATTATCTCAAAGTTGCAGCTGGAAAGCTTCACTTCAGTGAGTTTTTCTATTGCTTTTCCGGACGTTAACTCTGCCTAAACCACAGTCTGTCATTAGGTTCACTGGGATTCCAGTCTGGGTGGAAAACTGGGGTAGCAGAGTGAAATGAAAACACAGAAGTGCAGAGACTTTCAGAAGACATTGACTTTTATTGTAGAAACATGAGTGCCTTGAAAATAGTATCAATAACAGTTTGTGAAAAATCTGCTTGCAGCAAAGCAATGTGGTAGCTAATCCTGCGATGGCTTGCTCAAGAATGCACAGTTTATTATTAAAGTAATCTTTTAAGATTTTATTGGAATGTGCTTCCACAGTGGTGTTGCTGCCTTTGTGGGCTTTACTATGTGTGTGTCATCTTGTCCATAATTAAACATTTTACTGACAGACCTGAGACTTTTTTTCTTAAACCTCCCACTTTTAATAGTGGAATTTCATTTGAACTTTAAATACTGCCTTGGAATTTGCCATAAGGTAAACTGTCTGCTCCTGGAAGCTTCCTTGCGATGCGACAGATGTTTCAGACACACAATAAGTAACTGAACGTAAGAGGACTTGCTAACTTTTCTCTTAGTGTTAAGAGAAATGCTGGTGAGAGCAGGACTTGCTTGGAAGATGTGGTTGTCCCTAGGCAATTCTCACTTTGGAATATATGGGAATAGAATTAATGGAAAACTGGCCTAGAAAGTACATTTTCAGTGAAGCTTCACTGCTGTCAAAAGGAGAGGAGGCAAACTATGTCAAAGGAAACATGAAGGAAGAATTTGTACTTCAGCCTTTGGACTTCTCAGCCAAGTTTCTCATGTGACTTGGACTTGCTGACCACTTCTTTTTATAAATTCAGTTAAAGACAAAGTCCACAGAATATCTGTAGCAAAAAGCATCCCTGCTATTTTAAAATCTTAAATTGCAATCTATTGTTCACGTTAGTGTAGCTCTGGACATAAAGCTCTGGGTAATGTGCACAGGTAACTTGTCTTCTGGAATCAAGAATAGACTTGAGTAATTACTTAAACCAAGGCTTGTTTGTGGAGGCTCTGGTTTGGCAGTCTCTAGCTTAGACTGCCGCAGGGATTTAAATTGCTAATATGTTCATCCGTTTAGAAGTGATTGACCAAAAGAAATGTTAAAGCTATTGCCCCTCAGCTGCAGTACAGCAGCTCCCTTGGTGTGCATCTTAACCAGCTGAACTGCAAGGCAAAACCAATTATTTTAAATCGCTATCAGTGGTATTTGCTAAGAATTCAAGCTAACCTCTCCCAGTTCGCTTCTGATGACTGCTAATATTTGTCTGAGACTTGATGATTTCCTCTAAGTTCTTATAATCTGTCAGGCTTCAGTCAGGGTTATTTTGGGAGGAGATTGCAAATGTCAGGGCTGGAATTACAGTGTCATCTCTCTCCTACCTGGAGGTTCTACGCATCCAATGCTGTCACCAGCACAATGCAGGTTTCCAAAACAAGAGAGACACTGTGGAGCTGTTCAGAGTTTTTTATATCTCTTAACTCCTGCACCTGTATTCTGCCTCAGGCAGTTGATATGGTCAACTAGTTCTGTGAATTCTTAAGAGCAAAAAAATAGACTGGTAGGCAATATCACCACATCTGAAAGAGTACTCTGCCCCCACCCATATTAAATAGATAAACACAATATTTTGTTTGGCAATGCTCAAGGTGAATAAAAGCCCATTTCCAAGCAGTGTTCATTAATTGTGAGGCCTCTCTGCAAAAGGAAAGTGGTGACCACTCTCTATCTTGAATAAAGAGTGGCCCAAATGACACTGCATGCGTACGTACATTCCAGCATACAGGAAAGGATTTTGGCATGGTATGTTTCTTCCCTGGAGAGGTGATATGTCCAGAAGAGAGGGAGAATTTCAGATGCATCCATCCCTCTTGGCAGTGTGTCATGTTGGCTGCATGTAGCTTCTTCTGTTTGTGTACAGTATATATTCTGGCTCTGGTTTTTAAGTCCACAGCTGGTGGCTGACTTTTGGGCTTCACAATATTTAGCATCCAAACATGTGAACTTCTTCTGGAGTCTGGCCCATCATTCCTAACCTTTACAGACTGTGAACTGGAGTTTGATAGTTGACCTGCTTAGCTTTTGAAATTCTACTAAAAAATGGCATGATGCTAAAAGCTCAGGTCTCTTATGAAACCCTGAAATCAGTCTGCTTGAGAAAAACTTTTCATTTGTTAGCTGGCAGTGCCCTAGTTAAGTTGTATTTTTCCATACTTTTAATCACATTAACACCACTGAGGTAACAGGTGGTAACAGGTAGAAGTCAATAATGAATTTATTTTATTTAGATGTTGGTTGTGTGATACATGCTCTAGGGAAAAAAATCAAGCCTCTTTGTGCCCTTTATTTTTTATTATGCTTTTCTTTGGTTATTTCTCAGGGTTTTTTTTTGTTTTGTTTTTTTGTTTGTTTTTTTTTTTGTAGGCATCTAAGCTACTATCCATCATATCTGAGAAAGCTGTGGCAGTCTGATGAAGTACCTAGTGATTTAGTGATTGGAACAGAGAAAACACAGTCGCATTTTTAATTTTTAAAAAAGGAAGACACAGTGAACTACAGGCCAGTTAGTCTTATTTCTGTACCCCACAAGATCATGAAGCAGATATCCCTGAAAACTATGCAAAGTCTCATATAAAACTGAGGTGATTGGTGATAGGCATGACTTCACTAAGGGCACACAGTGCCTGATGATTTTGGTGGCTTTCTACAATGGTTTTACA